GCCTGCTGGCTGCAGGGGTGAGCTGTGGGGGCGGGGGAGAGGAAGCCCATAGACTCACCCCTCCCTCCTGGCAACCTGCAGGCTATAAGAAGGGGCAGCTCCCAGAGCTTTGCATCCCCCAAATAGTCTGAAGACTATGGGAGAGGGCAACTGGAAGGTCCCTGCTGGCAAGAGAGTGTTGCCTGGCTCCCTAAGAAGTTGCCACTGAAGCAACGCTACCCTCGCCAACATGGGTAGCTCCAGGTAGCCCCTCCCCCCACCTCCTAGCTTCCTGCCCTGAGTCCTGAACTTCCCATCTGCCTTGACTTCACTACCCCTCTCCCTGCTCTGAGCCGCCCCCCCATCCCAACCCTCTTCTCTAAGCCACCTACCCATGGCCCTCCTCACTCCTGAAGTCTCACTCCGGCCTTCATTTTCCTTCATTTTTGAGAAATACAGTCATTGAAATAACGCAGGTATATTTTTCATTTATTTTTCCAAAAACAAAATTCCTTCAGTTATAGACCCAATCAACGCTGGGTACATCTGCTAGTCTTCCATAAAGCTCATGCACAAGGTGTGCACCTGCTCGCAGAGAGGGGAGTGAATTATTGTGAAATCTGTTAATTTACTTTCCCATTTGAACATCAAATACCCGTTACTAGAGTTGCCAAGGTTCTAACTGCACAAAATCAAATATGCTTGCTCCAATGCTGCCCCACCCTTTCTGGGGCCCTGCCTCTTTTCACTCATCCCCCTTCCATCCATCCCTCACTCTCCCCCACCCTCATTCACTTTCAGTGGGCTGGGCCAGCAGATTGGGGTGTGGCAGCGGGTGGAGCTACAGGCTGGAACCAGAAGTGAAGGGTTTGTGAGGGGCTACAGGCTGGGAAAGGGTGTGGGAATGAATGAGGGCTCTGCCTGGAGGTGTGGGCTCTGGGGTAGGCCCAGGGATAAGGGGTTTGGGATTCATGAGGGGCATGAGCTGGGGCAGGGTGCAGGGGATGGTGCGGGAGGTAGGCTCCAGGAGAGAACTAGGGTATGTGTGTGGGGAGGGTGTTCTGACCTGAGGTAGGGGGTTGGGATAGTGGGTGCAGGCTCTAGGAGGGAGTTAGGGTGTGAAAGCCTGTCTTAACCTCACTGTGCTGCCAAGTGGACTTTTAGTGCTGCCCAGAAATTCCAGGGTCCCTTTTCAACTAGCCATTCCAGTCAAAAACCAGAAACCTAACAAATCCTACATGTAACCACCAAGGATAAAGGCAACACTTGGCTGTCACTCAGTAAGCAGAATTGTTATTTGAAACAAAAGGTATTGTTGTTTTTTTAATTGAAAGACCGACATGAGCAGAGACAAACTGACAGGCA